ATGTAGATGATCTAGTGTACATTTCAGTAAAATAATAGGTCAGTATGGGTTCCCTCTGAGAAAAAGAGGAAGACCCCCAGAGCTATGGATTGACAAAGTGGCAGCATCAATGGGTTCAAGTGTGGCAACAATTGTGAGGTTGGCCCAGGATCTGGCAGTGTTTCATTCTGTTGTGCATAGGGTCGCTATGAGTCAGTACTGACTCAATGGCACCTAACAATGATAACAAATGGGTTCCCTGACTCTATAGACACATACTTGTTAGTAAACTTGTCTGTGTATATCATCTTAAATTCTAGAAAGAATCAAAGTTTGAAAACTTAATTCATTTTGAACTGCTTATACTCTCTTTATATTACATTGTAAATCCACCCATGCTGAGCAAAGCAGTGCAGTAATAGAATGCCAAAAAGTACATTACATTCTGAGGTTTTAAGAATCGTCATAGTTCAAGTAAAGGTCAAAAACACTCTTCTGTCTCCCTGGAGCAGAAATGTGTGAAGTGTGTTTCCTTTTTCTGCCACGCTTCCTTCTTTTTTACAGGGATGTCTAAACTGCTTCCCAATAAAATGAATATCCTGTTTTGCAGCACTCAAAAACCTTGGCAGAAACAAGCTAGAGAATGAAGGCAAATGAATAGCAGGATTGATATTCTTTTATGCAGATTTTCTGTTTAAAGAACAAATCCTTACTAACAATATCTCTTTCAAGTGTTTGGTTCTTTTCTCTTCAGTTCTTTTAATTCACTGTTTCCTCCTCCATTGTTGTTGAGACTCCTCTCTGCTATTTTTAACCCATTTTGAAAGTATTTCCTTTAATTCCTTTGTTTCAATTCAAGTGTTTTAACATAGTCTAAACCCAATTAATTTCTAAGCCCCAATTCTATTTGCATCAGCCTTCACTTTCAAAATCATATTGTGCTAGCCTCAGGGGCATGGCAACAATACAACCTACTGCCAACTGGGAGAGATCAGTGAGGAAATGAACAGGATCATTCCAGGCCTGAGGCCAATAGGGTGGGTCCAGTTGCTTTGTAACTCAGGTAGTCTCAGTTATCAGCATTCTCAGTAGAACCCTTTGCCAGGTTTCACAGCTATGGTCCTCTGGTAACTTTTTTTTTTTTTCAATAGTTCTAGAGAAACACAGTTGTCATATTAAATTAGTTCTCCTATAGCAGTTAATAGGAAGCAAATTACAATTATGATATTCAATGTGGCCCAATTCTATAGTTATCCGAAACTTAGAGAGTTTTTATACCATTAATTATAATCCATTAGTTTACATGGAAGGTCACACTTAGTCATTGAAAAATTATGAAGCAGTTATCCAATCTATGAGAAATAAAGGCCTCACAAAACCTCACAAATATTAAGGTTTCATTACAGTTGCAGGGATAACGTAAACCCTCATTTGAATTTACAAGTATTCACATTCAGAAAATATTTTCTTCCTTTTCTATTGCGGTAAGCTGAACTGAGGTCTATACTTAAATTTCTAGGATACTTTTAGAATTACTGATAAGAATAGAGAATTTATGTGCAAAATTGTATGCATATCTTCAAAGGTAAAGCATGCAAATCACAACACCCCCACCCCCATTCTTTTATAAAATGAACAAGATACCCATCTGGGTCTGGCACTGTTATTTATTAGAATGTTCGTTTGCTTACCAGTATATGCACAGCCAATTTCTTGGTCTCAACATATGGTGCTTAAACTGGTTATTTACAATCTTGAGTACTATAATATTGAGTCCACAATTAGGGATGGCTGTCTTTATATAAAAGCAGAATATGTGGCCACCTACATGTTTCAAAGCAAAAGATGCCATGGAACATTTTCCTGAAATGGCTTCATTGCAAATGACTAAATTATTTTAAGAATACAAATAAACCCTTTGGTTAATACTCATGAATGCCTCATTTGTAAATGAGTTTGTCAGATGTTTCCCTATCCACAACCTCTTTCCTCTGCCCTGGTGTGGTGTTCATGTCCTATCCTCTTGGGGGACAAGGGTGGCTGTTACAGAATAGGAAGTTTGTTGCTAAGAGTTGTGAACATTTTGCCTAAGATTTACCCTGTTCAAAGGGAAACATAAAAGACGTTGTACATATCCTTTAAGCTAAGAAACTTTCTTCATAGCAGCTTGCAAACATGGTTGATTTCAGAATTTAATTTCATATATAATAATACCTTACCATACAAAAAGAAGATTCAGTATCTAAATAAGAAAACACTGGAATAATGTATATACTTGTTTTAGTTACCATGAACAACTGAGCAGATGTTAAGAAAGCATGAGAAGTCCTAACATGGAGCTTTTGTTTTTTTTAAGTTCAGAAGGATTAGTTCAAAGTTAGGATAATATATTCAAAGGACATCATCAGATTTCAGCAGCTTGGAAAAATCAGTGATGATGGACAGTAACTATCAGAACTTAAATGTCAATTGTTCTCAAGTTTTTTTCCTTATTTGAGGGGGGAAATGAGTTAATATCACAAGCACCAGTTGCAAATATAGAATATAAAGGTGGTATGGAAATGGATCCTCCATTATAAAACCCAACTAATTTGATAGGCCCAAATAAACTCTTAGCTTTCACTTAAAATATCACATCACACGAAGACTGATGGTGAGTTTGCACACTTTGAGGTGCAAGGCAGTTCAGTCTTTTAAAAGGTTTGCCAGCTTTGCTTGCGCTATCCTCTAATTTCATCTATTCATTTATAGTTACATATCTGTTTCTTCATTCCAAATGCTTATAGACAAAAAATTAAACAAAATAATAAAATAACAAAATACTCTTCAATGCAATTTTAATACTTAGCATATAAATACTCATTTCAGTATTTTCAATATGTGATACTCATATCTTCTACTAATATTTCTGTTATTAAGCTTTGTTTTGTGATTAATAGACTATAATATTTTATTTGAAGGTATTATAAGACCTTGAAGCTTTTTTGGATTTTTTCCCTTGATTTCTTTTCACAATACTGATATAAACTGAAACCAAACCCATTACCATTGAATTGATTCCTACTTACTAGATTTACCTATTTAAAAATATTTTAAGAAACTGAGTCTTTCATGTTCTAGATATTTTGGTAAAAGATTTTCTATTTCATATTCTGAATATCTGATTACCGCCTACATCCAAATATCTCCTCAGCAGGGAATAAAAGCCTAAGTTTCCTGGTTGTTTATAGAAGAACATTTTCTTTCACAAGATCAATAGTTTCAGCAGAATGTATGAAAAGATTATAATTGACTCTGCCCACTTTATTTCTTAAGTGATATTTTATTCAGAAAGTAAAACAAATAAAATGCCCAGGAGCACCCTAACTTCCACTGATACTGGTAAGACATGGCTAGAATTTTCTCCTAGAAAATTATTCTTTACCTGTGCTGTTGTTAGGTGCCATTGAGTCGGCACTGACTCATAGTGACCCTATGCACAACAGAACAAAACACTGCCCGGTCCTGGGCCAACCTCACAATTGTTGCCACATTTGAGCCCACTGATGCTGCCACTTTGCCAATCCATTTCGCTAGGGGTCTTCCTCTTTTTCTCTGACCCTCCACCTTACCAAACATGATATCCTTCTCCAGCAACTGGTCCCTCCTGACAATATGTCCGAAGTATGAGAGATGAAGTTTGGCCATCCTGACCTGCAAGGAACACTCTGGCTGCATGTCTTCCAACAGATCTGTTTGTCCTTTTGTTAGCTCATGGCACTTTCTATATTTTCGTCCAACACCGTAACTCAAATGCATCAATTCTTTTCCATAGGTCTATGCTTATTGGGCAGGAGAGGTCCAAGTGGGGTTCAAAATGTCCTCACAATATCTTCTAATTGTATTATTCTGGAAAAGATTCTTCAGATTACAGATACACCCAACTCACATGCCTTTCCCATAGTATTTAAAATATACCCAGGTTGTATTCAGAGTCCTGTTGTGGCACTGTGGATTAATGCATTGGACTGCAAAGTCAGTTTGAACTGTAAGGTGGTCGATTCAAGCTCACCAGTTGCTTCTAGGAAATCCTATACAGGGTCACTATGGGTCAGAACTGGCTCAATGGCACAACAACAACAGTTTGTATTTGAGGCTGAAGTGCCATTTTTTTTGGCAGAAGGTGTCTCTACCTTTTTAGGGTTTATCGACTTCATTAACATGCAGCACTATTGACTTTCAAAGTGGGTTGCTGATGATGACTGACTGGTATAGAGTTAATGTAATGACAGTGGTTTAAGCCCACCAACCACTCCTCAGAAACCCTAAATAGGGTCGCTATGAGTCAGAACCAATTCAACAGCACTTAACAAAACAACAATAAATCATGCTTAAACTTCCGATTTAATGTGAGGTCATATTATCCTTCACTTTTCTTTTTCTGTAAGTAAGCTCACAGCTTAGATTTGCAGGGAAAATTCCAACATTGTCTTATTTATGCCAATTAATTCCATAACACACTGATTTTCATTTCTGGAGAAATCATCAGTTACTTTAGACTACCTAAGATTATCTTCCTCTTTGCAATAGATAAATTAGAAATTGTTGTTGTTGTTGTTGTTGTTGTTAAGTGCCTTCAAGTCGGTTCCGACCCATAGCGACCTTGTACGGGGTTTCCGAGGTTGTAAATCTTTACAGGAGCAGAACGCCTCATCTTTCTCCCGCGGAGCAACTGGTAGTTTCGAAATGCTGACCTTGCAGTTCGCAGCCCAATTTGTAACCACTGCGCTACCAGAGCTCCTTTGTTTTAATTAAAGAGTTATGAAAGGGAATATTATATTTGCCTCCCCCCAAATAAAAACTTTTGTATTTATAGCTTCTGTAATAATATCAATAAAGATACAGAATAATGAACAAGCCCTAAAAATATAGTGAAAAGGACATAAAATAAAACTGTTCAAGCATGCCTAGAATTCTAGAGAATACCTCAGTCATGCTGACCACTAGAAATCACTTGTTTTCTTTGTTTTTTATTTTTACAGAAAGAATGTGCTAATTTCATCAAAGTGCTTAAGGCTTATAATCAGACTCATTTGTACGCCTGTGGAACGGGGGCTTTTCATCCAATTTGCACCTACATTGAAATTGGACATCATCCTGAGGTAAAACTGGCTTTTAAAAAATGGGGTTTGTCCACGACCCCTTCCTATTTAGATGTTTCATTATTCAATTTCTTTAATTCTTATAGCTTTCGGTTTACTATTCACTACAACCTACTTCAGATTCAGATGTTGTTATTAATGGTAACTGGTGAATGCAAAAAGAATGAGACCATCACTCAACAATAACTATGGAACAGGAGGAAGGAAGGAAGAAAGCCTTTGTTTTCATCCTAGATTACAGAGTCCAATCCATTTTGCAAGTGCAGCAGATGTCAGCAGGCTGAATGTGCACTGTTTTCTCCTTCATTTGTATACTGCCAGCTTTCCCCTCCATTTCCATCCTCAGCCAGAAGTGTCTGCCATCCCAGTTGTTTTCTTCTGCCCGGAGATTAAGAAATAATGCCACACATTTGACCCAGATTATTCACATTTGAGGTCTTGCTCAGTTAAATTTAATTTTTATGTATTTTTGTTATTTTAATTTATCAGTACAGAAAAGGGAAAACAACATGTTTCTTTGATTGTTGTACTTCTCCTTTAAAATATGTTTTAGAGAGAAATTAAAAGTTAAATCCAGTGATAAGTAAAATTAATACTATGGAAAACAACTGATGAAAAAGTTGCTGAGATTGAAATTAGCTAAATGAAATGGGCGTTTCAATATTCTTCAATTATAAGACCTTTTATATTTTTTTTAACCACAAAATTCAAAGAAAAACAAAACCATTATTGTGCTAAGAAAGTCACTTGTTGCCAGAAGATTTCTGGAGTCCTAAAGATAAATTATAGTTTACATGTTTGTTGTTAAATTGTATTGAATCAGTTTCAACTGATATGGATCCCATATAGGGTTTCCAAGGAGCAGCTGCTGAGTTTGAATTCCTGACCTTTGTAGCTACAAATACAGTGCTTATCCTACAGTTCCACACTAGGGCCCAAACTCTAGACTCTATCATGCTTATGGTGCTCTAAACTGATTTGAAAAATATGGCCTTAGAGTTAGAAATGATGCTGGAGATCACATGATAGAATATTGCAAGATCTATAACTTATTTATTGAAAATACCTTTTTTGGGCAACAAGCATAAGGAGTATATACATGCACCTCACTAGATGGAATACACAGGAATTATATTGACTACATCTGTAGGAAGAGACAATGAAACAGCTCATTATCATCAGTCAAAACAAGACTAGGGATGGATTGTGCAAGAGACCACCAATCGTTCTTAGGCAAGTTTAGGCTGAGTCTGAAGAAAAATGTAACAAGTCCCTGGGAGCCAAACTATGACTTTGCATATTGTTGTTAAGAGCTGTTGAATCAGTTCCAACCCATAACGGCCCTGCAAAGGGTTTCCAAGGAGCTGCTGGTGAGCTTAAACCACTTACCTTCTGAATCAAACCTACTTTGCAGTTCAGTGCATTAACCCACAGTGCCACATCAGGGCTTCTGACTTTGATTATATCTCACCTGAATTTAGAGACTATTTTAAGAACAGATTTGATGCATTAGACATTAATGACCAATGATCAGAAGAGTTGTAGAATGACATCAAGAACATCATAGATTAAGAAAACAAAAGGCATTAAAAAGCAGGAAAAAAAACAAAAACTTTTTTTTTTTTTTTGTCAGAAGAGACTCTGAAACTTACTCTTGAATGTAAAGTGACTGAACTAAAAATTTCAAAGAGCTGCTCAAGAAGACAGAGTAAAATATTATAATGAAATGTCCAAAAGCCTGGATTAGAAAATTAGAAGGAAAGAACATACTCAGCATGTATTAAACTGAAAAAGCTGAGAAGTAATTCAAGCCTTGAGGTGCAATATTGAATGAAGGATTCTATGGGTAAATTGTTAAATGTCACAGGAAGCATCAAACGAAGATGGAAGGAATACACAGAGTCACTGTACTAAAAAGAAATGGCCGATGTTCAACTATTTCAAGAGATAGCATATGATCAAGAACCAATGGTATGACGGAAGAAGTTCAACATGCACTTAAGACATTGGCAAAAAACAAGCCTTCAGCAACTGATTGAATACAAACGGAAATCTTTCAACAAACTCATTCAGCCCTCATTTGTGTCAAGAAATTTGAAATACACTACCTGGTCAACTGATTGAAAGAGATCTGTATTTGTGCCATTCCGAAGAAAGGTGACTCAACAGAAAGCAGAAATCATTGAGCAATATCATTTATATCACATGCAAGTAAAATTTTGCTGAAGATAATTCAAGAATGGCTACAGCAGTACATCAAGAAGGTGCTGCCAGCAATCCAAGTCAAAGTCAGAAGACACGGAATGTCATCATTTCTGATATCAGATGGATCTTGAATGAAATCAGAGAATACCAGAAAGATATTTACTTGTGCTCTCTTGACTATGCCAAAGCATTTTATTTTGTGGAGTACAGCAAACTATGGATAACATCATAAAGAATGGGAATTCCAGAACACTTAATTATGCTCCTGAGGAACCTGCACATAGACCAAGGGGTAGTTGCTTAAACATAACAAGAGGCTACTGAGTGGTTCAAAATCCAGAGAGGTGTGAGCCAGGGTAGTATTTTCACAATGCCTATTCAATCTGTGAAAGGAGCTCTGGTAGCGTAGTGGTTACGAATCGGGCTGCGAACCTTAAGGTCAGCGGTTCGAAACTACCAGCTGCTCCGCGGGAGAAAGATGAGGCTTTCTACTCCCGTAAAGATTTACACCATCGGAAACCCTGTAAAGGGTCGCTATGGGTCGGAACCGACTCGACGGCACTTAACAACAACAACAAAAATTCAATCTGTATTCAATCTGAACACATAATCTAAAAAACTGGAATACACGAAGAAGAACATGACATCAGGATTAGAAGAAGACTCATTAACAACCTGGGATAAGCACATGACACTGTCTTGCTTGCTGGAAGTAAAAAGGATTTGTAATACTTACTGATGAAGTTCAAAGACTATCAGTATGAATATCACTTCAATGTAAAGAAAATGGAAAATCTTTACAACTGCACCAATAAATAGCATCATAATAAATGGAGGAAAGTTTTAAGTTGTCAAAGACTTCATTTTGCTTGGATCCACAATCACTGCTCATGGAAGCAGCTGTCAAGAAGTCAAATGACATATCACATTAGACAAATCTGCTGCAAAAGACTTCTAGGGTGTTGAAGAGCCAAGGTGTCATTTGGAGTATTAAGGCACATCTACCCCAAGCTATGGTATTTCAATTGCCTCGTAAGCTTGCAAAAGTTGGACAAGAAGTAAGGAAGATTGTAGAATTGATGCATGTGAATTATGGTGTTGGAAAACAAAATTGAAAGTGCCATGGACTACCAGAAGTACAGCCAGAATGAACCTTAGAAGCAAGGCTGGCAAGACTTCATCTCACATACTTTGAATAGGTTGTCAGAAGGGACGAGTCCCTGGAGATGGATATCTCTTTTGGTAAAGTATAGAGTCAATGAAAAAGAAGCTGAACCCCCAAGAAGATGGATTGACACAGTGGCAGCAACAGTGGGCTCAAACAGAACAATTGTGAGGATGGCACAGGACCAGGCAGTATTACAATCTATAATACATAAGGTTACTATGAGTCTGAACTGACTTGATGGAACCTAACAATAACAACAGCAAAGTGATTCAAGTGGATCCTTTTGATCCAAAATCTTAGAGACCTAAATAATTTGTATTATACCTCCTTTGTATAAGAACTTACTTTACAGACTCTTGAGAAACCACCTGATACTTAGGCTAAACAAAATTATTATTATTTTTTCTTCTTTTCTGATGATTCTGAGAAGATTGGGACACCTTTCCAAGGCTTCATCATTTTAAGCCATGCCCTTCACAGGCCCAGCCTCATCATCTCTCTACCCTTACTCCTGCAAAGACATGTATTGTACTTGCTGACATTTCTGAGTCTGAAGTACAAAGCAATCTTTAGGATAGGTAGTTCTACTTAAGTTTTTAAGATGATGTTAATGACAATTAAGGATGACATTCATGTACATAGCCCTAGAAACTTTGCACATTTATATTTTTTAAGTACCTTCTATATAAATCTCCCTCTTTGCTTCCTTCTCAACTATTTTATGTTTTTTGTTAAGTGCCATTGAGTTGGTTCATAAAGACCCTATATAGGGTTTTGAGGAATAGCTGGTGGGTTTAAACTACTTATCTTTCAGTTAGTGTCCAGTGTTTATCCTACAACACTGCACCAGGACCCCAAGCTATTTCAGTTGTTGTTAAGTGTCGTTGAGTCAGTTACAACCCATAGCGACCTGGAACAGGGTTTCCGAGGCTGTAAATCTTTACAGAAGCAGAAAACCTCATTTTTCTCCCGTGGAGCAACTGGTAGTTTCAAACTGCTGACCAATTTGTAACCACTACGCTACCAGAGCTCTTTAGCTATTTCAGTAGTAATAAGAAAAATCTTCTTAAATACACCCAGGATAATTGTCCTACATTTTTGTATTCTGGAGATAAATTCTTTCCCATCATATCACACTTTTTATATCTGCCAGCAACATGCTATACTGCACAGGACAATGGCCTCAGGAGATTTAAGGTTTTTGCACAGATTAGAGAAAAACACATGGACTTTGGTGTCACATGTGACTTCAGATCATGTGTCATAATCTGCTAGCTGTGGTATGCCAGTTACATGCTCTAGTCAGTTAGGAGAGAGTGATGATTGCTGTGGAGCATTGGGAAAATTATTTAACCTCTCTGAGAATGTTTCACAATATGTAAAAAGAGGCTAAATAAAATCTCTTTGATCACCAAGGTCCATGTATTTCAAACTTGATATGGACTTACTACCTCCAACTGCTTTGTAACCATCTTAACCATGACTCACAAACTGACTTTGTTTTCCATAGAAACTCAAGGAGTTCTGATTCCATGATCATTAAAAGCATGTCCTCTGATCCGCGGCTACAAGTCCTACTTTTGATAGCTGTTTGATCTGAAGCAAGTTATTTAGTTTCTCTGTGTCT